TTTTGAAAACTTAATAATTAAAGAAAACAAAAATATCAATAATGTATTCTGTATATACTGCATACTATATATGTTATATAATATATGTATATTAATTTTACGGATTGCCCACGGATTGGTTTATCGGTTCGGTTTTTTCAGCACCTAATTCGTTAACTGATTCGGTCACTACGAATTACTAATTTTTCAATTCATCACCGAACCACAACAGTAAAAAACCAAACCGAACCATACAGATTGAATTGATTCGATTCGATTTATCGAATTGACGAATTATTTGAGCACTCCCTAGCCATCACACCACATCATAACTCAAAACTTATTCTCATGTAAAATGGCCGACAATTGATTATTTTCAAATCCCAACTATACAATTATTAAATCACATGGTAATACAGACTACATAGGTCGCCTGTATATATTCCAAAATCATAATTAATAGGTGGACTAAATGTACTTCATCCACTTGGTAAATATATATATTTTTTGGCACATATGCAGCATACAAACAGTCGAATAGAAAGTAGTCCAAGTGCTTATATTGCTTTTAGAAGTCGAAGTTGAGTTGACCTAGGATGTCTAAATTCATAAACGTTTTTTGAGTTTGAAAATAAAATGAAAATTAAAATATAATTTTAATTTTTGGCACATATGCAGCATACAAACAATCGAATATAAAGTAGTCTAAGTGCTTATATTGCTTTTAGAAGTCGAAGTTGAGTTGACGTAGGATGTCTAAATTCATAACCATTTTATGAGTTTGAAAATAAAATAAAAATTAACTTGTTTACATTATTGCATCCTAAAGCAAGCTTTTTGATGGTTTTGATTCATCAATCTTTTGGTTCCGATTTCTTAAAAAATGGAGTCGTTAGCAGAGACATAGTCAAAAAATTGTGTGAAGGAAGGCCATAGTATAATATTTTAATAATTTTAGTGAGGATAGTAGGGTAATTTTATCGGTATATATACATAAAGAAATATAAATTAACAAGGTATATTACTATATATATAAAATAAAAAAAATCAGTAGAGGCAATTGCCCCAACAAGCTTGCGAATGGCTCCATCCTGGTGGTTAGGAATAATTTGGTTCATAACTTAAAGGTAAATAATAATAATAAAGAAAAAACAGTATCAATGCGAACAAAGTTAAATACTTATAATTTACTAGTTTTTAATTGTTGGCATTTTACTACAATACTAAGTAGTAGATTAAGAAATAAATTATTAATTAGGAATTAGAAAGAATTCTTTCTAGGTCAGAAAAGTTGGGTTGTATTGTAAGTGAGGTTAGGTTAACATAATCATTATTAAACTTTAAATTTAGGGAATTTAATCTGTGAATCCGTCCTCCGGGGCATATCGGTATTGACAGGGATCAATGAGGTAAGTTCTTGAGGTCTTACTTTCGAACTACACTCCTGATTTGAATGGTACGTGTATTGTGATGCCGGATACTTGCTCAAAAAAAAAAAAAAAATCTGTGAATCCCAGCCGATTTAAACCATTCTAATATGATTCAAATTGGTTCAGTTTAGAGTTGAATTTTAATTTTGTTGAAACTGTTTGGATTGATTTAGTTCTCTAATTTACATTCTAACCAAAACAAACACAAGCCTGTGCACCTCTATCTCAAGGACAAACAAGGCTGAACATATTATGAGCCGTTGTCTGGCCAAAATTCAATAGGCCCATAATTAGACAATACGCAGCCGAGTTTTAGTTGTTTTAGTGGAACTAGGGCCTGTGTCTAAAAACGAAGTTGAATTTAGTAGTAATTTATTGTTTATGTTTCCTTTCAGTCTCTTACACTTCTACCCAAACACACAGTGTGTGCAATAGTCCTGGTTCCACCACACACTTCACGTATATGTGTGTGTATATATGTGCATAATGCATATAGCTTTCAGTTACTCATATAACGACAAATGATTTGTGTACTTTGTTGTGACACGTCCTGTGTTGTTAATACATAATGTGGTCCATTGATGTATACTTACCTTCCTGTGGTCTGCTAAAGTTTTGTCTTGCAATCATCAATCAAGCTTTCTTGGTATATAATACTCATTGGACAAAACTAACATACACACACATATATATATGTCTGACATATATTTAGCTATGTATTCCATCAATTATAACCACAAATCTTAAGCCTATGCGGCTATGCCTAAACTTGATCAACGTACAGTCAAGTCTTTATGTACTTCATATTCTTGCTAATTCAAGGAAAGAAAATAAAAAAAATTAAAATTAAAATGAAATTTGAGGAGTTGTGAAAAAGGTATAATTATGGGTTGTCCATTTGTTTGTTTGTATAATGAGAAAAAAAGGAAAAAGATTTTGGTGGCACTTCTGCTACAGTTGTAAAGGGTACCACTGGGGACGGATTGTGGACCCTTACTAAGAAACTTTTACACTAAAGCCAATTCACCCATCATGGCTACAACTGTAAAAGTCCACTACCACGAAACTTTTTGTAATCATGCCAAACATGTACCTAGCTCCAACTATTATTAGCTTTCGATTGTCAAACAATTGGGTGTCATCATCCCACACTAGTACACCCTATCTTATCGGAATTTCGTAGATAAGAAAGAGTAATACTAGAATGAGTGATTTTCTCTGAAGTTGTAAGCTTTTAATTTTTATTTTTTTGAAATAAATAACAAAAAATATAGTCAAACAATCCACACACACATATATATATATTATTTTTATTTTCACGAATTGAGTTATTAATAATAATTTCATTTCACTTCAACAGTAGAATATAAAGAGATTGATGGAATAATTGAGATGGGTCAAATTAAACTTTATATATTCACAGCTGGATATATATATATATATATATATATATATATATATATATATAGTCCAAATTTGCAGTAGAACTGATCAGTCCAAACCCCAATTGTAGCCAGCTATAATGCATAACGCAAATGGGTGCATCTACATCATAGTTAAGGATATGTGGTGTAATGCACAATGGATCGATCAATCGATCAAGTCTAGTAGGCTTTTCTGCCAGAGTTTGGATTAAGGACCTAAGCCAAAAAAGTTCAAAATGTGATTGAATATATATATATATGGGTATCAATTATTGGAGTACAAGCTAGTCCCATTTACTATGTATGATAACTTTGTCAATGCATTCATGAAACAAATTAAGGGTATAGTGGAAATGGTCATTCCCTTCAATGAACAATTTATAAGTTTTTTTATTTTTATTTTTATTTTTTGTATATATATATATATATATATATATATCTTATTATATTACCTCCAAAAGAAAAAAGAAAAAAAGAAAAAAGTATCCTAAAGCTAATTTCAATTCAAAGTAGTAATGTTTGGAGTGATTCTTGAAGGTAAAAGGAGCTAAATACGCACAAAATATATTATCCACACTTGAAAGAAAAGAAAAGAGAAAGAAAAGTTACCTCAAAAGAAGTCAAGCAATTTATATGTTCGAGTTCGACACTTGCATGGCAAGTTTAAAGACGAATACTTCATGATAAACACAAAACACACACACATTTCATGATAAACACACACACATATACATACATACAAAAACACACCAAAATTACCCTATTGAAATGATTGATTTAAGAGGCAAGGAAGTCATTCAGTTTGAAATTGTTGATCTAAGGCAAAATAGAATGCGACTCTGAGGTCGGTCAAAACGAAAAGGAAACTTTAGGAGCCACGCGCCTTTGAGAGGCGAGTGGGTTTTGACAAAATGTAACCTCCCTCCGGCAACGTCCATGCATGACACGTTTAACGAGGGCCGGACGTATGAGATACTTTTGCATGGGAGTAGCCGATGAAACGATCAGTGATTGGTGGGTGCAACTCACAAGAAATCATGATGATCTTATAATTGTTTTCCTAAAACTATGTTTGGGCCCCACCCACCTGCTTCCACTTTTCTCTGCTTTTCATGGGAAAATAAAGGAGATCGAATGGAAAACAAAGAAAGGAAAAGGAAAAGGAAAAAGAAAAAGAAACTAGATAGCTAGGGATGTAAAAACCAAGTGGATTTGATTTGCTGATAAACCAAACATAACATAACCCGAGGAATTGAGGAAAGAACCAAATCGTATAGAAAAGCTAAAGCTAGCTTTTGTTAGTTTGATTTTACATCAAAAGGAGAATCAGATACCTAACTCTCCATCCTAGCTTATTGCCTCATCATCATCTCTCTCTCTCTCTCTCTCTCTCTCTCTCTCCTTGTGGAAACTGCATTGACTCTTTTCCAATTTTCGAGTTGAAATTTGAAGTGATCTTTGCCTGAAATACACACGCGCATTTATATCTAGAAGGAAAACATCCCTAGAGACTAGTTTATGAGCACTAGCCTTTAGAGCTAGTTGCCCAATGGCATGATGAAATTATAATGATATAGAATTGAACAAATAAATCATCCATTCAATGGTTAGCTGTGCTGGTTGGAGTCCGTATTTTATTTTAGGTGACCAGTACACTTATTGAAGAAAAAAAAAACATATATTTATAAAAATGATTTTAGTTGGCTTTGCCCCTAATTATGATCAATGATCCACGGCATCGAATTAACCTCTTGAATGGAGTGAGTTTAAATTTTGATCACTTAAATGAACTTAATATAAAAAGACTAAGGTAGGATTTCTTCAAAACACACCCTTCCACCCACTTTTAATTTTTTTCATTAGATGAGGTGGGTTCAAATTTTGATCACGCCCTTAAAATTTAATTAAAAAAAACTAAGGTAGAACTTGGGCAAAGCATACCTCTCCACTCAAATATATGACATAGCCATGAAAATGTATAACGATCGGGCAATTAATCATTGACGTAGGTAGAATGGATAAATATTACGGTGATTGTGGTAACTTTTTCCATGATTGTGGTAACTTTTTCCATCTTTAATTGCCTTGCCAAGGACAACATTATGAGTTTGCTAGATTGTTTGCTTGAAGTGTCCAAAAAAAAAAAAAAAAATCCTCAAAATATTGATTTACACAACTTGAAATTGTTTTCTTAACCAATTGAAATAGACATACTGATACAAATCAAAATCAGCAGTAAGAAGATGCCAAAAAAAAAAAAGAAAAAAAGAAAAGAAAAAGGGAACAACTTGAGCTTCATTGATAATGATACTATTACTAAGGCAGACGGTTCCTTGGGAAAATCTTCTGTCCTGGCGCAAGGATGGCCATTGGATCAAAATTGGCTTTCCGCTCCACGAATCTTGCCCACTGATTTCCAAAGTGTTGCTTCCATTCCTCCTCAGAGTTGTAGTGAGGAAAGTATAGCTTAAAATTGAAGCCATTTTTGATGCAGCAATGAATAATTTCACGATTCTGCGCCACCAATTCCTCAACCGGTGGACCCTTCGGAAACGGAAGGCTGAATCGGAGCAATGCTACTATGTAGAATATTTCCCCTTCCGGCAACACCACAGAGGTACGATCATCCCACCTTTATTTACACAACATGTTAAAAGTGTGAGTAATTCACATAGTAGTTTATTGAGTATGGAAATGTGTCTAAAAAGTTATATTTGTTAAATCTCAAAACACAAAATTACATATACATGATTAGATATTCATATAGACTCTCTCTTGCACTAAAAATTTAAAATATCATTTTGTCATAGAAGATTAAACGAAATTATTACTAAATACTCTTGAGCGGAAATGCGACTCACAACATCATTATAATTATATAGTTTTTGCAGAGAAAAAAATATATTAAATAACGTTGTGGTCAATGTGCATTACAAAAATCAAGGTTCACATCAAGCACGTGAGTTTGGAATAAGAAACAAATCACTTTCATCATATAGGCACGTGTCAGTAATTGACTCATTGAAAAAGTCATGGCAACCACCACTGGGGTATTTTCGACCAGAAAAAGATCATCGATGGAACCCTAACAAATTATAATGTCACTGTAATCGGGTTGGCGAATAAATGCCCCCTTGTCGTTTCTAATAAGGGAAGATTTTTTGGGTGAGGACTTGTCTATGGAAGATTGACCCTGAAAGTTACGTAACTGTGAAATCTCATTTTCCATAAAAAGATAAAGTTTTAAAGACCAAACTGTCCTCCGCAGTACCTTTGCTACTAGTATTTTTCAACTAGGATTTCTCTATATATGGTACATCTAAAATAACACCAAAGAAAAGATTTGTGTGGATGATATAATATTAATTATTATTTTTAACCATATATAATTTTAATGAAAATATAATAATTTTTATTGAATTTAATTGTATACAAAATTACACCATTTGAATAAATGCATTCAGGATTACTAAAACATGTTCCAACAAAGGATCCTAATTCTTCGTCAACATATATAGGAAATTTCTTTGACCAAAATACCCCCGACTCTATATTTCGGGGGAGAGAAACCTATATATTAGTATTCGATGAAGATGAGTAACTAGAGAGAATAGCAAATATCATGTGTGTTGGGGTACACCGTATCTTTGTTCCAAAATACTCCGTATTGTTTTTACATCTGCTTTTACACGCACTTCAAACCAAACCGCACGTACAAGAAAAACAGCAGCGTGAGGTAATAGGAGGCGAGAATTTACAAAGTACATTGCAGCACCATGAGACCCTTGCGGATCACCTAATACGTGTACTATCACGCTAAGGATGGGCGTTGCAACCGTCGGTTTTTACCAAGTGGGGTCCGCTTACCAATAAGAAGGTAAAAGGCAAAAGCCCTTTGGTAATCAAGCGGACCCCACTTATGCTGACCCTCCCTTACCTATGTACATGACCTAACTTCAAAATCTTAACCACCCGATTTAAAATGTTCAGCAAATAAGTCAGCATATCAGTTTGCTAGAATCAGGTGGTCCTCTTACAGAGTCCACGTAAAAAGCCACGTATAGGGCGTCCACATCAGCATCTAAGCATGTCAAGTTATAATCTCACTATTAAACACACATAATGTCACGTCAGCATCTAAGCATCTCAAGCTATGAATCAATTATTAACTAAATCGACACACATAATATCACGTCAGCATCTCAGCATGTCAAGCTACTACTAGTAAAATAAATCAATTATTAACTAGATGGACACACATAATGTCAAGTCAGCAGACGATTAGTGTGTACATATGTAGTATTAGAGAAATTGTGTTTAACTTAATAAAGAAATTAAGATGAAATGGGAATGATTACTTGTCTCGGAGAAGAGGATAAACCAACATGGGCCCACCAACACCGTGCTTTAGGATCTTCTTAAAGACCGTCCGATCAAAATCCACTATGTCTCGTTTGGACACGAACAGGTTCAACCACGGGTGTGGGGCGTCCCATATGCCATTTGCTCTGGCTTGTTTCTCCGCAGGCTTCACACGCAACAGAAACTCCACGTAGGACAGCTCCACCTCGAACTTCAGATGCTTGAGAAATGTCAGCCGTCCAAGCATCCGTTCCTAGACAGAAAGAGGAGAAGACAGTAAAAAATGTGAAAACAGAGGGGCGTTTACGTACTTCAACAAGATTCCAGAAAATGAATGCTTTTCGGCCTGTTGCGGAGTTGTGGGGACCGAAAGCGCCAATGAAATCTCTACAATCAGCAATGCAACGCAACATCTAGTGATGCCACATTACTATTTTAGCCCTGATTCTAAATCCAAAGATTACGACAGCGCTAGAGAAGTACGATGCCATTTTGGTAATTAAGATTCTATCCCATGTCCGTTTTGGTAGGTGCTGTGTCAGAAAATCCAATGGAAGATATATTATATGCTGTATGGTCAGTTTCAAGTTGAAGGTAATATAGTTACGGAATGCTGAATACTCGTGTAATCGATGGAGGACGAGAATAAGCCGTCCTTCTATACTGTGCATCGGACACGTGTAACTAGGTTGCTGACTCTTTTTATTGAGTTATTCACTGTCTTCCCTGACAGTTGAGGTGGGACCGACTACCTGATTCGTGGTCAAACATCTACCTGTTGATCCCACTTAGCAACCACCTAGGTCAAAACCAAGTCTCTGCTGGATGGACCCACACATTGCCACACACGAAAGGCCCCATGGGTCACAAAACTGATTTTGCAATATGCATCACCGTTGATAGTGGATAGAATCATTGAATCACGATGTTGATTACCCATCATACGGCTGTGGAAAGCCAGCAGCATTTTATTACAATGAGCTGTGTTGTACGCTATAAAGAAGAATAACAGGAATGAAATTACAGTTTTTTACCATATCAACAGCTGAAGAATTGTGGACGTGTCGATAATGTAAGGCCACTTCGAGACAGTAGAGAACCGGGGCGGAAGTATGCGGTATATGGGTCGGGTCAAATACTTGATCCGAAGCCAAAGGCACCGATTGCCAGCCGTTGACCGGGTCGTCGCTGTTCACGAACACGAAGCCTTCAACGTAGTCAAACGAATCGCCCTCCGGCCGAGTCACCAGAAATTCGGCGTCACGAGCGAACTCGTTAAACTCGGCATACACCACCCTTACCCATCTCACCTAATCTCACACACAACACGCACAAAAAATGGTATTAATTAAGCAATAAATTAAGATAATTACGTGTCGTCCATGCATTACAATTTACAACTGGCGATAAACCAGAGAATGTATGTGTAGAGAGAGAGAGAAAGAGAATTGAGAAATACCAACCATGTCCGGGGCTGACTGTAGCAAAACCCTAGCTCTAGTGATGATACCGAACTGACCAAGACCACCCAGTGCCCCAAAGAACAGTTCGGAGTTTTGGGTCTCCGAACAAACTAACGTATCGCCTTTGCCGTTAACGACCTCCAACTCCGTGACGTTGGACGTTTGTGGTCCGTAACGGAAGGCCTGGCCGCTGACGCCGGCGTTAGACAGCGTACCACCCACCGTCAAATCAAGATAGTCCGTCCACGACCTCGGAGCGAGGCCGAACCCCGAAACGCAGCGTTTCAAGACGTCTTCCCACAATGCCCCTCCGCTGACGTCGACATATGTGGACCCGTCGCTCAATCTCACCACCTGGAATATGGAATTATCATCCATTGATCTCATGTCGATCACGAGGCCTCCACCGGCCATCGCCTGCCCGTTGATGGAGTGACCGTTGCCTCGAGCGGCCACCGTCAGATTGGATGACTGAGAAGCCGCTCTGACCACTCTCGCTACGTCATCCGAACCGGCCGGTCTGATGAACGCCAAGGCTTCGGCCGTTTGCAGCCCGCCGAAATCTTTTCCGGCTAAGTCGGTGGACCTGTAATCAACAGTCCCTTGGAGGTCTAGGTTTCCGCAGACGGTTACGCCGTCGTTATCTGGTTTTGGGTCGGTGTCGTTATCGTGAACAAAACGCTCTAGATAAGCTATCATCATCGCCGGCGAAGTGGTGGTGGGAGGGGGGCTTTTTGTTTTCTCTCTCTCTATATATGTATATATATTTTATTTGTTTCTCTCTCTATGGTAGCAGTAGTAGTAGTGTGTTTGATATGGAAATGTAAGTGATGAAATTTTGGACTTAAATAGCGGCGGAGAGGAGAGGAGAGGGGGTATATTAAATTTTGAGGAAGGAAATGGTTGAATAAATTGAGAGAGAGAGAGAGAGAGAGAGAGAGATTGGATTTGGTCGTCACAGTGTGGTTGGCTTCGATGTCCTGTTTGACGCTGTGATCCTATCGACATCATCTGTCTGCCACTTCTACAGGCATATATGTAATTTTACTCTTTTGGAGAGAATTATACAATGGAGACATACTCATGGCCTTACCCCCAGTGCCTTATTTTAGCATTTTCTAAACACTATTGCAGTCACATTTTTATTATTATTATTATTTTCTGAGGGTGCCTTTTTATTTATTTAATTTTTTACTATATGAAACACGATTTACTTTTTGAGTAAATAATATCCTTTTTTTTTTTTTCACTTGAGGTATATATCTCTTAAAAATTAAAAAAATGTTATAAAGACTTTTCAGTAATCAACCGTTAAAAAAAATACCGTTAACAAACCACATATTTGCACATAACTAATTAATTATATTAAATATAAAAAATGCCCTTACCTTTTGTATATAAATGTCATAATAATCATTTTACATTAACGGAATATTTTACTATTTTTATTTTAAGTGTATGAAAGATATTTTTGTATTTTTGTTTCTTAATTAATGACAGAATCAGGAGAAATTCTTATTCGCCCCTAAAATATGGGGCTCTCTATAAAAAATTATATAAACTATATAAATACTATAAGAGTGTTAAATGTTTGCGACCCTCTTAATATCAAATTTTGTAGTTAAAGAGCTTGTTCTTGTTTTAACTGCCTGAAACTTAAGTCTACAATGAAAACTTAGATCAACTCAAAGGTGTGTGCTATACATGAATCTCTAATCAGATTCTAGTTAAAGAGCTTGTTCTAGTTTCTTCAATCTTTCTCGTAAGGAAAAATAATAATGAATTTTAATAGATTATAAAATTTTGAAAATAATATGATTTCATGACATGAGTTGTTAACTCTCATTATTATTATTATTATTTTTTTAAAGTATTAAGTATTAACTCTCTTTATTAACTTATAAATTGAGAATATGATAAATCCTCTCTCCTTTTAATTAAATGTATTCTTTTTCTTGTCTTTCTATAACAGTAAATTATAAATATAGGATTAATTATACAGATTTCCTCTCTGATTTATCATAATTACAAGAATCTATCTTATAGTTTTTGAAATTACATTGACTTCCCTTGAAAATGAAGCGTTGTTACAGACATTAGGTTGTCGTGTAATTTATGGTACAAACATAGGAAATGTTCTTATAATTATGACTATGACTAATTATAGGGAAGGTTCCTGTCATTTACCCTACAAACATACTCATAATACTTAATTTTTCTATTTACGAGTTAAGAACATTTAAGTCATTTCATTTTAAAATGGAGTGCATTTAGTTAAAAGGGACGGTAAATAGATTGATTTTTTTTTTAACACTCCAGTTGATAGAGTCCAACACAATGACTCTTTGTCACTAATGATAAGGCGCACCAACACCCTCTCTTTTTTAACTTTTGAAATTTATTCAAGAATTATCATTTGGAGTCACAAATTCGATCCCATGAGTGTAATTGGTGTCATTTGATATCAATAACATCGTGACGTAATGATAATATCAGTTTTTATTCACTTACAAAAGAACTACGAAAATATAGAATTATAAATTCTTTTTGTAAATCTTAAAATTCTTAAGAAATTTACTACTATTTATTTGTAAGAATCAAGTTCCTTATCACATACACAACACATCCGAATTCACTTGATTTGTCACTCATAAAACAATTTTATATTTTTAGACAGTTAAAACTTAAAAAATTCTGCTTAGTTTAGTTTTTGAAAACTATTTTATGAATATTTAGTTAAAAAAAAATTATTTGCAAAATTATTGGGAATAGTTTTTTGAATGACAAACCAACAGACTCTACATATTTTGATATTTTAAAGTCTAATGTTTATTTTTTCTTTCCCAATATATAAAAAACTTGATAAGAAATATATTCACACATCATAAACATGTACAATCTCTCAACTTTTTTGTAATTTACTACTCGTCTAGGCACGGGAACAACCTTTTATATATAGAGTATAGTACATATATATTCCAAGAAAATCTTTGCAGAATTTTAATCTGAATTTAGATAATTTCTACTCTTCTTTTCAATTGACTAAGAGTAGGATATATGCCAAATAATTGTCAAGATGATGTGTATAGGATTAGATTAAATTCTGGACCGCCCACAGAGAAAAATCTGAGTCGTGCTTTATCTCTCAAAAAGCAAGCCAGAATCTTCTAAAATTTTATGCCAAAAATACTCTTTCCAAAACCCAAAAAAAAAAAAAATAAGTCCAACAAACCAAACTAAAAAACGATGACCAATCGATGTTGATAATACAGTATTGCATAATATGGGACCCATCTGAACGCTTTTATATATATATATATATATATATATATATATATATATATCATCTATTTAGTTTTTTGTATGGGGTAGCATTACTCATTTTTAAATAGATACGTATGCTATTACATTAGTTCAGAAGTTTGTAAGACATGTAGTTGGAATGGTAGTAATTTTTCTGTTTGCATCTCAGGTGAATTTAACTATGAAATTTATGCCAAATCTAAAATGAATTGGTGGCTGTTATGTTTGTTGGCATTTTTGGTTCATTTTTATAATGTACCTAATACATTAATGTTTTAATTGATAGAAGTTTCAGCTGCCAAGTTTGAAGACATAATAAATTTTTTCTAAATAGTCACTTTATAAAATAAAATATAAAAAATGCAAAATATTACTTGTGTAACTTGTGTTGACTCTCTTCTTGTATCCCATATAGGTGGACCGAAGTCATATGATTATTCTCAACGGGTGTTACTTTCATATTATGTACTCTTGATCTGTACACGCTCTTCTTCTCACAATTTGTGATTTAATTTTATAATTTTTATTTTTTTGCTCTTGCTTTACGTGAGTTAGGATGAAATAAAGAATATAAGAATTATACCAAATATTACTTATCTTTGGAATATAAAACAGACGACCAATGAAAAGAGTGTAAACAATGACCCATCACAAATTGTTGATGAGATTAGGAAGATTAATGTGAAAATCACTTTGTCATTTCATGAAATGCTTGACTTAGATTCACAGAAAGTGTCCAAAAGCACAAAACTTAAGTGATCTTTAATCATAACATGGTCCAAAATAACCCAACAAAGCCCTTAACCACACACATTAAAATAAGCTCAAGTGTCTATATACTTCTTCATATTTTAAGCACTAACTTTTCCAACCATTCATTATTTCATTACTTAAACTAAATAAAATAAAATAAACTATAAGGATACCACCTTTTCATTTATAAGTGACTTTTAAGTGCTCAATTGATTACATAAAGTACTTCAACTTGCTTAGTTGTGTTTTACTTTTTGTTTTTTTGGTTTCCTTTACCTTATCAACTAAGAAACATGAAGGGTCTGATACACACTTTCATATACTCCGATATCGTTTCAAATTTTCATGAACTTGCTGATTTATTGTGAATCATGATCCACACATGTGGCACGCCTAATGAATGAGTGGTCCTAGAACGATAAATCGTAAACTTAGATGTTATGAATTCGACTCTTACAAAATGTAAAAACATCCAAAACATGTGATCTCATATATCCGAGTTTACAAACCATCTGAAAGTTGAGGAATGAAAAATCTACGAGGCTAAAGACTAAAACTGTAGAATATCCATGCATAGTGTCTCTCTCTCATAAGTGATAGGTCGATAATAAATTCATATACATCCAAGAAAATTCTTACAAGAGAAGACTGAAGAGGGTAAGCAAATCCCCAAAATCTGAACGGTCGTGGTACAGCTTTCAATTTCACAGCAGACGTAATCTGTTTCTGAAAATCAACCAACTTTTGCAACCCCACAGGGCCACAACCTGTGTGTGTGTGTGTGTGTGTTAAGGCCCAGGATATGAGAATCCGAGGCTTTAAAGGCCAATTCAATTTCCCACAAAATGCCAAACTCTTTATGCATATCTTTTGCAATTAAGAAAGTGAGCCCCTGTTTTATTTTATTTTTGGCAAGTTGGGTGATACATTAATTATTGCGAGAGAGATCAAATTAACCTTAAACATGAATTAATGATTGTTTTTTTGTGATATTTAAAATGGCATTTATCTAATTGTGGCCATTTGTCATGTCTGCCCTTTGAAAATAAATTTTACTAATAATTACTATATAGGTGGAGGTGGGACCAAAAGGGCAATGAGGATGCATGGTTTCTTCTAGATGTGATGGATATTAAGAAATGGTTGTTCGTTCGGTTCACACTAGATTTTATTAAATATGTAAAAAAAAATTAGACTTAAAAATATTGAATAAATAAATAGCATATACTATAGTATGTATTATTTGCTACCAACCAAGGGCAATATAACATAAATAACACTAATAGTTGCAGTTGATAGCAATTTGGCGTGGACAGTGGGACTGCACAAACATATAATGCTGCAAATATATTCGTTGAAGAAAGGGATAGGTTATGGGAAATGTCTGTGGACGTTTTAATGTGGGATTTATGGTTCCTGTACTTCTGCAATTCCATCAGATATATATATATATTTTTTGAAATTTTAATATATATATATATATATATATATATATATATTTTAAACATCTTCAACCCCTGTGATATTATTGCCTTGCATATCAACTCTATTATGTGCACAAACATCTTCAATTTGAAATTTTTTGCAAATAAGTCCCATCTAACACGTGTTAGATTAAAGTAATACTTTGACCAAATTAACCTTGCATATACAATTTTTACATAATTTTTTTTTTTAAAAAAAAGTAAAATGCATTTAACACTCTCGTCATATATTTACAGTGGTGCACTACTGCTGCAATTTCATACCAAATTTTTTGTTTTGGGGGACAATTTTAGGACATCTATACATATGTTTAAAAATATACCAGGTGTCAAAATCACACCATCTTGATATCATAATCGTCCAACTTGATAACGATAGTGTATTATTTTACCTTTTTTGTTCATAAAATATTTGCTATCATTTCAGGCATTAGAAGGACAAAACTAACTTTCTATTCATTTTCTAATGTGTCGCTGACA